CGGCAGCTGGTGGGGGAAGAACAGAGGGAAAGGGAGCTAGGGGCGAGTTTGGGGAATGCCCCTTCCACCCAATAGCCCCGTTTTTTAGTATGGGGAAACTGAGGCTCAGAGAGGGCTTGCACTTGCCCGAGGTCACAAAGCCAGTAAGGAACAGGATGGACATTCAAAGCCAAAGCTCTTTCCCCTGTGTTGGGTGCTCCCTTATACTCTCTGCCTTACTTCCTGAAGCTTGAAACCCTTCCTCCATCACTTCATCCTTTAATTAATTAATTAATTTTTATGTTTTAAAATGTTTTGGCCATGCCATGCAGCCTCTGGGATTTTTAGCTCCTTGATCAGGGATTGAGCCTGGGGCCCCGGCAGCGAGAGCACTGAGCCCTAACTACTGGACCACCAGACATGTCCCCCTCCTTCCGTTTGAAGCTCTACTTTCTTCTGAGATGAAAATCTTACTAGCCATTCACACTATACCACATACTCTCTAGAAAGCCAGAGCAATGAAGAGAAATGGATGCTGGAGGGAGGGGAAGCAGGACCTGTGGGGAGGGCAGCCCTCCCAATCAGCTCTCAGACTCACCTTTGTCAAGTACAAAGGGAAATTTCCACCATAGTTCTCCGGGACTTCGACATACAGCTCTGCAGGCTGGGCTCTAGGGAGAGCCTGTGGAGGGATTCTCAACACGTCACCAAGCTGTACCTTCCTCCCACGGGTGCTACGACCCAATAGAGAAGGGGAATTTCTACCCCTTCCCTGGGCCTGGTCATACTTTATCCCTCCGCCCCCTGGCCTTTGACCTCCTAACCCCAAGACAGGCCTAGAACCACATCCCCCAGACACTACCATCCATAGTCAGTGCAACTGGTCCAGGTGGAGGAGGGGGTGAAGGTGCAACCCCCAAGGCCAGGATCTGAGGGCAAAGAGAGGGCCCAACTCACCTGGGGGACTAAGAAGCAAAGTAGCCAGAGCCAGGCAGGGACCATGGTCAGGATGGGCCTGTAAGGATCCAGCTCAGGTTGGTGGACAGAGAGTCCCTCCCATAACCCTCCCTCAAGAAAGTGTTCCTCACCCATTCCCACAGCTTCCCCAGGCCCCATGGGGTCCAGTGGCCCCTCCTCCTCCAGCTGGACCAGGGGGCAGGCAGTCAGGCCTCCTCCTGTGCCCTGCCTTATGCTGCCCCAGCAGTTCTCAGAGCAGCCCCGCCCGCCACCACTTGGACACTGCCCCCACCCCCTCCCACCCTTGTCCCCGGCCTGAGCCTACTACATACACATAGCCGGGCTTCACAACAGACTGGCCTCCTCTTCCTCTGCTTTGAGGGACCTGTGGCTCCCTATTGCCTGCAGTGCAGTATCTAGCTCCTTGGCCGGGTCCACCAAGACCCCCAGGTCCAGCTGCCCTGCATCTCTTGGTTCTTGTGCCCACAAGGGTCTCCACAGGGAGCTTCACCTCCAGACTCCGTCTCCTTCCCACAATAGCCTCCCCAGCTCATAGATCCCAAAGTAGTCATTTCCTGGCAATCTCCCTGAATCACCAACGTTTGAAGCTAGAGAGACCCTGATGACCCTGTGGGCCACCTCCTGTGGCTGCCTCACATTGTAGGCAAGGCCTGAAGGGCAAGAGCTGACCAAGGTCACAGAGGATTTGACCACAGGAGAATTCTTCCTGAAACACAGGACTCAGGGTTCAGGGTCTCCAAGACTGTTTTAGCTCCCACTGTTATCCTTCAGACATGGAGCCCTCACAGGACAAGGACCCCTGCCCTCACCTCAGTGTTTTCCAGCATTCAGCATGGCACTGGGCGCCCAGAGAGCCGACAACCACACCAATCACTCCCGGGAAGTCTTCCCTGGATGACAGGGCAGTGTTTCCCCCTCCCCTGCCACCAACCCCCGCCTCAGCCCTGACACCAACCCAAGTCCCAGGTCCCAGGTCCCAGGCCCTCACCCGCCGATGCCCGAGGCTGGCTTCCCTTGGTCCAGCTGCCAGGTAAGAGGAGTCTTTCTACAGGAGTGCTGGCCAGGCCGAACTGGGTAGAACAGGGCAGGGCGGACACTTGAGCAGGTAGGCGGGCCAGCCACGCTTGCTCAGGAGTGGAAAACACCCCTGGGCCCACAGCAGCAGGCCTGACCCTGCCCAGCCCCTCAAGTTACTCATTGACTTTGAAAAGCTGGAGGTTGCTCGGCATCCATGACCGCCAACCCCAGGAGGTGGGGAGATCTTCGACCTGGCACTTGTCCCACCCCTACACAGCTCAGTGGGTACTTCTCGGCCCCTGGATTTGGACATGACCCTTTTTCCCGTGGCTCCAGGCTTGCTCCCACTTCTCCCCCTTATGCACCAGTGTCTGCAGCTTCGCCTTGGCCCACGCTGTTCCTTTTTCCTGGAATGCCCTTCTCACTCCTTCATCTGTCTGCTGATCGCCCGCTCAGGCTTCTGCGCTCAGCTCAAATATTCCCTGCTCCCAGGAAAGCTCCCCTGGGCTCCCAGGTTTGTTCAGGGCTCTCCCATGGAGATACTTCACCCCTACCCATGCCCATATGCCAATGAGATAGTACTATATCTATTAACACGAGGAGGGCACCAGCTTGTTATTAGCTATCTCTTCCATCAGACTCGGAGGCCCTCCAGGGCAAGACTCAGGGACCCAGTAATTAATGACCTGGTCCTTGCATGGCCCTGGCAGCTCCTAACTGACTTGTGGAACTAGATAAGGAGCTGGAGGTGCCATGTGCAGGATAGGGGAGTGGTGCATGACCTGAACCAGATATTTGGAGCTCCAGACCACCCACCAGTGTGACCAGTGGGCGGGGGTAGGAGGATAGCAGCCTGTGAGAACCCCTAAGGCTCCCTAGGTGCTCACACTAGCCCCTGGACACAGGCAGGGCTGGGACAATGAACTGTCTCGTGCCTTTGAGAGGAGAGAGGAGTTTGAGCCAGTTCAGGTGACCTTGAGGGAGTTGCAGGGCTGACAGGAGGCCCTTCCCCCACTGGTGCAGCCTAGAAGAGTCGGGAGAAGCTCCTGGGGCCTGAGTGTGTGGAGTGGTGGGAAGAGGGTGGGAAAGGTCAGGGATCTTGGTCTCCGACCTCTCCTGTGGTTTCCCCGGAGTCCTTCCCATTGCATATCTGGTTAATTTGTCTCAGGCTAGAAGGCTGGATCAGGACCCCTCAGCTGACTCCAACTTTGTCCATCACAAGCTGAGTTCCTGCCTCCAGGTCACTTGGGCACCCCAGCCCGGAGCAGTGCTGCATGGGAATGTTGAAAGGGTCTCATGTGTATTAAGGCCACATGAGAGGGGTCTCCAGCTATGTGACTGGCACTACTCTAAGCAGATACCGTCATTATTCCACCCATTCCATTCTGAAAAGGGCATCGTGCCCACGTCACACACTGGAGCACAGAGAAGTTGAGTGACTTGCCCAGGGTCACACAGCCAATAAGTGACAGAGCTCGGAAGGTCTGGAATCTTCTTCAGGCCTCAGCATCCTCACCTGCTCTGAGAAAACCATGCCTGCCATTTGCCTTGGTGAAGGACACTGAGACTGGGAGCGGGAATGCAGCTTTGAGCTGCCCTGGGGGCATGTGGTTAGTCACGGGGATGGCACACCTGAGGAACTGCTTTCAAACCTCCACCCGCTATTGAACAACTGCAGTCAGAGTTCTAACCAAGTCCTGAGGGCTCCCAGGAGCCCTGAAAAAATTGACTAATATAGAAATGTCTGGATCCCGGCCTGGAACCTTTTCAGAAACCGTCCCCAGCCTTGTCCCAGGCTGCCTCTGGGCTCCCAGTCCCCACTCAGCCACTTCTGCCCGTGGGGCCCCAGGTAAGTGCTTAGTCCCCCATCCACCATTGTTGAATGGGGGTGCTCACTCCTGAAACCATGATGGTAAATCTGAGCAGGCACCTGTGCCCAGAAGGCTCCCCTTCCCAGGTGAGGGTGGTGGTGAGATACACTCCTCCATCTATCAGCAAAGATGCACACATTTACACTAGAATGCAAGGCCTCTCATTCCAGGCAAGGAGGGCCCCAGGGACCTGCTCCTACATTAGGCAATGCCGAGCATGGAACCCTCTGGCGTGGCCATTCAGTGGGGAGAAGAATGGCCCTCCCTGTCCCCCCACCAATTCCTGCCTAGCAACCCAGCCTCTGCTAGGAGGTAGGGAGCCACGCGGAGTCAAGTCCACCTGAGTGTGCCTTCCTTGTGCATGCGTGTGTGCTAAGTCACTTCAGTCGTGTTCGACCTTTGTGACCCTATAAACTGTAGCCCACCAGGCTCCTCTGTCCATGGGATTCTCCAGGCAAGGATACTGGAGTGGATTTGCAGTGATTGAACCCTTGATCAGCTGGGCAATGACAGGCCCCAGTACAGAAGAATCTGAATAAAAGGTTGGGTGAGATTCATGTCTCTTCCTGCTGCTTGAACCCCCATCCCCCACCCCGTTACCCCAGCAACCAGACCACCACCCACACCTGCCCCTTGGATGCCCTGGGCACAAACATTAGAATAGTTAAGGCCACAGACTAGGGTGGGTCAGTGAGGCCCCTTCCTCAACTTAAGGAAACTTTCCTGTTCCTACAGCCCCCAGAGTCAAAGAAAACAGAGTCACCAGCCCTGGCCTATCAGGAAATAGTCTTTATTACAAAAATCTGCATGTAAACAAATAGCCACTGCACTGAACAGCCTCCCTCCAGGGCATGCACACCAGGGTGTAGAGAAAGGCAGAGTCCTCTCCCCACTCATAGGCCCGTCCCCAAGGGCTGGCAGGAGTCAGCCTGCTGCTTGGGATGCACACGGGCTGGCATAGGCATTTCAGTGGGCCCAGCCCTCGACGGCTACTGGGAGTCGCCTCCCTGGGCAGCACTGTCTGTCTGTCTGTCCATGACCATGAGGTGGGGGATGCCCAGAGTCTGAGCCAGCTCTGAGGCACCTCGGGCGGTTGGCTGGGCCAGCCCACCAATCTGCCCATCTGTCTGCACAATACAGCGAGGGCCCCAGGGCCTAGAGCACCGACAGGTCGTGGCAGGACTTGGACTTGGCACGCATGGCCATCTTGCGGCTGTTTCGAGCGACAATGCGGCCCAGGAAGCGCTTCGCCTTCTTGCCCAGGCTCTCTCGCCGCCGCGTACCCGCTTGCCGACGTGCGTTGGCCTCTTTGCTGTCCCTGCGCAGGCGTATCTGACGCACGACACCCTCGAACAGCGCCTGGACGTTGTGGTGCAGCGCAGCCGACGTCTCAATGAACTTGCAGTCAAAGACAACGGCGCAGGCCCGGCCCTCTGGTGTGTGTGGCAGGGGTGGGGAGCAGGGGACAGGCACACATCAGTAACCAAAAGGTGGGTGGGTGAGAGGCCCACTCCAACCCTGGACACACCCTGGCAGCTATCTGTGGAGAAGGGGAGGGGAGTCCTGGGTCTTCCCCAGGAACACAATGAACCCTGCCTCCTGTATGGAGGGGCCCAGGCATCACTGGGTCACCCAGCTGCAGAGCTTGCCCATGTTTAAGGAGCTCACAGAGGCCCACAAAAGAAGACTCATTTATCGAAATAATTCAGAGTTTGATATTTAAACAGTAGTGCTGTAGTACTCAACACAGGAAAATGACAACTTTGTTGGACAGCATGGTGTTGTATGGCTTGCTGTTATATCATGATGAATGATGGGTGGAATGGGGGGAGGACATCACCAAGTCACTGCTGGTTCTTCTGTGGGGTTCAGGTCTAGGGGTCACAGAGGATGCTGAGCCCAATGTTGGGGGAGGGCTCCCCAAGATTATGCAGAGACTGGACTGGGCCTGGAATCCAGGCTCTGGCCTCCTGGCCTGAGTCCCTGAACTCTCCTCACCCCTCATCAGCCAGGCCAGGGACAAAGAGGACAGAAAAGGAGGGCTCTGAGATGATCCAGTAGCTTTTACCTCCTCTGGTACATCTGGTCCCTTCCCCAGCACTCAGGATTTGGGAGTCCTGTGGGAGGGCAGAAGCTCTCCCCCTGTCTCCCTGAGTTTTCTTCCTGGACATTTTTAGCTACTGATGATCCCCAGAGACTCGAGCTGAGTCAAGGCTGAGTGGACCACAGCGCAGCCAGGATCTCCCTCCCTTTCCGACCCAGCTCCCTGCTCACCGTCCAAGGAGACCTCTCGAGAGCGCACCAGGTCGCTCTTGTTGCCCACTAGGATGATGGGCACATCATCAGTCTGCCGCGCCCGCCGCAGCTGGACCCGCAGCTCTGAGGCCTTCTCGAAGCTGCCCTTGTCAGTCACTGAGTACACGATGACATATGCATCTCCCATGGCCAGGCAGTGGCCGGGTAGCCAGCGACCCCCATCCTAGGGGACACAGACACATATTTACCCAATAGTCCTCACGCCCCAGCTACAATGCTGTCATCCCCAGCAGGCCCCTACCCCCAGCTCACCCCTCCCACCCTGCCCTGGGTCTCAGCCTACATCCTACCTGATCCCAAATGTCATAGACCATGAGTGATGCCTCTTCTCCATCCACCGTGATGGAGCGGTCATATGTGTGCCCTGGGCAGGAGACCAGTAGTCAGGTTACTTGCTGGCTGCCACAAGCGCCCCCCTCCCCCAGTGCATCAGGTGTCGTGTTCTGGCCACACCCTTCAACTCCTCCCCAAAGCCCCCCAACCTTCTCCTCCACTGATGGCTGCCTATATAGTAACAGAAATGACAGGGCTGAGAAATAGGGGGGCGGGTGAAGCATGGTGTGCAGGCCCCCCACCTAGCTACCCCTTCCCCAAGCTAGCAATGTCCTGGGTGGCCATTCCTGGGCTCCCTGCCCTCCTGTTGCCTGAGACTCAGGATAGTTTTGATCACAGTGGCTTGAGTTAGAACAGATATCCCCTGGGGGCCTTGGTTACCTAGGACTCCTCTCCTACACTCTCCCTCTGGCTGTGTTCTCCCCGGTCCTGGCAGGGAGGGCTATCCTGTCCTCACACTACAGAACCATTAAACATATGCCCTGGGTCTTCTACTTCAAGCATTTCTTTCCCTACTAAAGGCTGGGGTACCTTCCCTCTTAGTTTCCCCATCTGTGAAAGGGGGAGGTAGACGCGATTATCAAAGCGCCGTCAGAATTCCGTTGGTATTTGCTGCTTTTAACCCTGATCCCCAGTCCAGCAGCCCCCAGTCCTAACCCTGTGTTCGCCCCTCCCTTGAACAGTCCCTCCCAGTCCCTCACCTGCGGCTTCCGCTTCAGGCCCGTCCTCTACACCTCCGAAGATGCGCGCCAGAGCGCTCTTGCCCACGCCAGGCGCCCCCAGCAGCAGCACCTTGTAAACGCTCTCGTCTGAATCGCTTCCTCCCGAGCTGAGCGAGTCGGAGGAGCCCTCGGGCCAGTCCAGCCTCGGACCCTGGGCCCCTGTCCCGGCTTCGGACGTTGTCAGAGCGCCCGGAGACAGCGCCGCCTGCAGGTCGCGCTCGTCCACCGGCATGCTCCGGCGGTGCAGCGGGGGCGCGGGGCCCCAAGGTGTGCTGCCCCGACGGCGATCGCGTTCCCGGCCCCCGCCGCGGTTCCCGCCGGCTCCGCTGCCGCCGCCGTTCAGAGTCATCGCGTCGGACGCCGTCTGGGGAACGGGAATCCGGATGGCCGCGTAAGCCGCGGTGGACACGGAGTATGAGGCCGGATCTGGTACACGCCTGCCTGACCACGGGTCAGGAAAGATGCTCGGCGTATAAGACCTGCCGCGGAAGGTCTTTGCGCCCTGACAAGTGACCCACCCTCCTGGCCTGTCCATCCCAGACGGTGAGATCACCCCCACCCCGTTCTGCCAGGACACTCACCCACTCAGACACGGTGAGGACTAGGTAGGTACCAGGCTCGGATACAGTCCACCCGTAGACCCAGGAGCGAACACTCGACCAGTCACAGCCGTCGCCTTCTCAGTCCGTACTGGGCTCAGGCGCCAGAGTCGCCTATTTAAGCCTCTGCCCGCCCCCGCCCCCACCCCCGCGCTCGCCCCCGTCTGCGCGGTGCGGGGGCTGACGTGTCCGTCTCCCTCCCCCGAGGGGAATCCCCCACCCTCCTCCTAGGACCTCACACCCACCCAGCCCAGCCTCACTCTCTAGGGCGGGGCAGGGGCAGACCCCGCAGACAAAAGCCCGGTCTGAGAGAGAGAGAGCGAGAGAGAGCGAGAGAGAGAGAGTGTGTGTGTGTTGGGGGGCGGGGGGGGGGAGGCGGGAAGAAGCCCCATCAGCCCAGTGGGCCAAGTCCCCACTAGGGAAGACTTAGGTCTGGCCCTTTAAAAGTGATTTCGCCCTTCCCTCTCTCCCAGTCCTGGCCTGTTGCCCAAGCAAGAAGACCAGTTACAGGTCCACAGACTTCACCCTTCACTGCCCACGGCACCCATTTATTTTGGGGCCCTAAATCCAAGCTTCTAACCTCAACACCAGGTCCTTCCCACTCTCATCCCTGCCCTTGGGAGTTGATGATTCTACCTGATGAGCCTGCCCTTCAAGATGAGGGTTAGTGACACCTGAGCCCCCAGGGGGGCCCTTAGAGGCCTGTGGGGAAGGGGTGGGGAATGGAGGCCCTCTGGCAGTGTGGTGCAGGTAGAGGTGCAAGCTTGAATCTTGAGGAGGGAATGTGGGCCTAGAGAAGGAAAAGGATGGACTCAGCACCACCTCCTCCTCAGCGCCCTCCAGGCAGCTGCCCGCAACTCTGCTAAAAATACCTGATCATTGGGCTCCTGGCCTGGAGGTTGCCCAAAGTTAGGGAAATCCTGGCAGGCAGGTGTCAGAGACCAGCGGGAGCGGATAGGGGTGGGACTAGACTGGAGCAGGTCTGGTTCCAGTCACTCTGAGTCTTCAATGTCTCCTTCCTTCCCTTTAGTCTCAGACTGAGCCTGTAATTCAACACATGCTCGGGGTCTGGAGGTTCCCTGTCATAGAGCATGGATGGGTTCCGGCTTCCCAGGTGGCTCAGTGGTAAAGAATCCACCTACAATTCAGGAGACCAGGTTCAATCCCTAGGTTGGGAAGAACCCTTGGGGTTGGAAAGTAGGAAATGGCAACCTGCTCCAGTATTCTTTCCTGGGAAGTCTCATGGACAGAGGAACCTGGCGAGCTACAGTCCATGAGGTCGCAAAGAGTCTGACACGACTTAGCAACTGAGCATGCGTGCACACATGGATGGGGTCAGGCAGTTGGGAATGGGATAGCCACCGCTTGGTGCCAGCACTGCCCAGAGATCAGCCCCCTCCTCAGACCCAGGGAGGATGCAGGGGCACAGAGGGGAGGAGATGTAATGGAGAGACTTGGTTTCTAGTCCTAAATCTGTCCCCAGGCTCCTAGGTCTTGCTTCTCTCCCAGCTTCTATTATTCTATCCCAGCCCCTCTATTATTGCCCTGCTCATGTTTGGGGTGTGTGAGGACTGGGGGCAGGCAAGCTGTGAGGTACTTTTTGACAGGGACCTGCTATTAGACTGACGTTTGATTGCGAGGGGTATGATGGGGGTTGGGGGGCACCCATTCAGGGCTCAAGTGACATCATAAATGGATGGATCCTAGTGGACTGCTGTAGGTTGTCATGGAGACTGGGGTCAGGGCTCTCTGGCTGCTGCGTCAGTTTCCTTGGCAACATCTGAAATGGCCTTGGAATGAGCAGGGCCTGGTTAGGTAAGTGTTAGAGAGTTCATGCAGGCCCCTCTAGTTCTTGACGTCCTCAAAGCAAGCAAGGCCTGAACTGTGGGGTGGTCTATCCATTTGTGTCCTTCACATGGCCTGGGGGTCTTGGAGGACTGGGCAACCCCATGTTGGTTCTAGCTTCCTGGGCCAGGTCCAGTGGGAAGATGGAGTCATGGGTTGAGCCTCTTGTCAAAGAACAAAAGTCTTGGGACTTCCCTCGTGGTCCAGTGGTTAAGACTCTGTGCTTCCAATGCAGGGGGCATGGGTTTGATCTTTGGTCAGGGAACTAAGATCCCACCATACCATGCAGCATAGCCCAAAAAACCAAACAAACAACAAAAGTCCTAAGAGCCAGCAAACCACTTTCCATCAGGAATCCCAGCTGGGCTGCTCACGGCCCCTCCTAACCACCTTACACATGACCTTGCTGCTGACAAGAGCCCCTGGATGTCCGACAAAGGGTGGGTGTTGTGGGGGGGGGTGGCTGTGGTCATGTAAGGAATTAGGGCTGGGTTTCCCCTCTGATAATCTAAGCTCTTGACCTCAGCAATGTTTCCTCATTGCCAAGGGAACTGCATCCACACTGGGCCACTCAGGCCCCAAGCATTCCTCAACAGGATAGACATGCCACATGCAGCAGTATGGCTAGGGGCCCCAGGAACCATACCAGGACATGCCCTTGAAACACCCCCAATTCTCTGTCCTCTCAGTTCCCTGGGCTGAGCTTGGCTGCCCAGAAGGAACAGACCGAGGCAAGAACACCCCCAGGATAGCCTGGCCTTCAAATCCCAGCTCTGCACCTTGCTAGCCATTTCACCTCTGCCCATTTTGGCTGAGCCTCAGTTCCCTCCTGTGTAGAACAGGAATAGTGCCTTCATGGCGGTTGTTATATGAATAATCTGAGGACTTCCTTGGTGGTCTAGTGGTTAAGACTCCATGCTTCCAAAGCAGGGGGCGCAGGTTCCATCCATGGTTGGAGAACTAAGATCCCACCTGCTGTACGGTGCAGCCAAAAAAAAAAAAAGGTATACATAACATGAAATTCAAAGGTAAACTGGTTGGTATGTGTCTGGCATATAGTAATATTGATATCTCAATATGAACACTTTTATTATCGCCCTTGGTTGGACAGGACAGGTTGAGTGACTATATGGGCCCTCTCCTGCTGCTTCTCTCCTGCTCCTGCTCCTTTCTGTCCACAACAGTTGTCTGCCCAGGACAGGGGCAGGTACAGATACTTCTCCCCTCTCCCCGCTACCCACCTTTTCTCTGTGGGACCCTATGCCCTTCCCCTTCCTCGGGTAGCAAAATGCTGCAAAGGGAACTTGGCTGGATTTCAGTGTCCCCACCCCTCCTCACACCGCAGTTCCATGCCCCAGTTCCTCTGTTCTGTTCTAAGGCTCAATTCATTCATTCATTTCACTGACCTGTACTAAGTACCTAACTGTATGCCAGGCCCTTGTGCTTTGGGCAGAATGATAAGCAAAAATGGACAGACCTGGGCATGTTCATATTTGTCCTCTAATCCCTGGGTTGGTCTCACTTAGCTGTGATTTGTTGTTCCCATTTTGTAGACATGTTAACTGAGGCCTGAGAAGTCACAGGCCAGAAACAGCACAGTCAGACACACCTGGTGGAGGGCTTTAGGAACCTGAAACTTCATCCCCCGCCCCCCACCCCGTGTTCGCAGATTGCAGCTGGGATTCCAGAAAGTTCCCCAGGCACTAGTCCAGTATTCATAAATGGTGTCACTGCAGGCAGCTGGGGGCCAGGCCCAGATGAGTCAAAACTGCAAAGGGGATATCTGATATGCCAACTGGCTGGATGTGAGCAGCTTGGTGTCCCTCATCCACTGGGATGCCTGGAGGGCCAGCTGAATGACTCAGTGACACCTGTCTCCCCTGTGACCCCCCCACCCCTAGCTGAACAGAGACACCACAGATCTTAGACAGATCCGGGCTGTCACTGCAGAGGTACACAGGCGGCGAAATCTACAGCTGGGTACTGGTGGTTGGGAAGCCTCCTCGGGGCCTGAGGGACCCTGGGTGGTTGGTCACCTGCCTCTCTGGAGCACTGAGCTGCTTCATCTGTGAAAATGGGAGGGTGGGTACTCTGCCTGGAAGGTCACCTGAAATGGTCCTAGATCCACTTGCAATCCCCTCAGAGCAGTCCTAAGCTGTTTTCACCACTTCCCACATCACACATGAAGAAACTGGGTGACATGGACTCATGGCTCCACCTCTCTGAGCAGCCAGATCTTGGTCACTGGGTGGCAAAGCCACTCCTGCCTGGAAACCAGGTGGCATTGGTGGTAAAGAACCTGCCTGCCAATTTGGGAGATTTAAGAGATGAGGGTTTGATCCCTGGGTTGGGAAGATCCCCTGGAGGAAGGCATGGCAACCCAGTCCAGTATTCTTGCCTGGAGAATCCCACGGACAGAGGAACCTGCTGGACTATAGTCCATGGGGTCACACAGAGTGGGACACGACTGAAGTGACTTAGCACAGCACAGGCCCCTCCAGCCAGGCAACAGCGCCCCCTGCCAGCTGAGCAGTGCCTGCTGAACTCCTTAGGTTCCTCCACTCTAACTGGAGGTCTTTGGGAGTCAGTTACTTATTCTATACGCTTCTTTCCTCCCCTGCAAAATAGAGATAACAAAGAATGCCACATAGGGCTGGCTCAAGAATTGGCTGTCTAGGTACTTCTATATCAAGGCTTCTGCCAATGCCCACTCTCAGGACAGGCTCAATATCATCAGAAGGCCGCCAGGAACAGATTTGCCAAGGGCCCAGGCTCCTTGCTGAGGCCTCTGGAAGGCCCTGCCCACCAGATGGGCTGGACAAGTCTTCTTAATAGCTGAATATTTCCTCAAAGAAATGGAGGCAGGGAATCACATTATGACTTCGGACTGGCTGATCCAAGGTCT